GACGCCAGGGCCAACAATACTGAGTCAAGTAGCACAACTGCAAACATCACCAGCATCACCAGTACGTTCTGCAGCACAACATCGCCTGCATCACCTGCATCACATGCATCGCCTGCATCATCAGCATCACCTGCCTCATCCACCAAGCCCGCACACTCTGCCAAAAACATGAACATCGCTTTTGTGCTCCACAAGCCGTCACTCCTAGCTTGAGCCTGATGATGCTGGCAATATGCCTTACGGGCGGCAGCATGCCAAAGTTCGTAGAATGATACAGGTGATGCAGACAATGTAGGTGGTTGGTGAGGGAACATGTGCAACCTCCCGTCTACCCCATTAGCACTGCCAGCATCATGTCACAACAACCTGCCGAGCATCTGTGCATCATTCGCATCACAAGCTACAGTGGCCAACAATCAACACCACTGCCTTTTGCCGCTCTGCGCACGCACAGCCTGAAAAATGGTGACTCTGCGTTCGTTTTGCTTCACAACACGTGATGAGGAGAGACGCGGTATTGAATTTAACATTTTCGCAAAATTTCACTTGACAGCGGAATGGCCCAGCAATGGAGTTGACAAGGGCGATGGCAACTGACAGGGTCTCGAGAAATAAATGACATCACAATCCAGGCATGAAAGTCTGGTGGCACTTTGAATCAGGAGCATCACCATTGCCTAGCCCACAATCGCCACAGACATCACTGGCCAATCATGGGCCATGGCAATTCTATGCAATCGGTGGCAGCAACCTTTCCCCTATATTTGAAGTCCAATGCACCGAGCTCCAGACCTCATTCACCATCTTGCTCTTGTTTGTTATATGCGCAAGTTTGTGCAACATGAGTTGTGAAGGGCAATTCGCGTCGCAAGCGGAAGCCCTATGAGGCTGCGGCTTCTCCCAGGAGTTGCCGCTGGGTGCAGACACCAGGCTAGGCGCGTCCAGCTCGTCCGGCTCGTCGTCGGACTCGGGCCCATTGCAAGTAAACATTGCAAGTAAACCGACCAAACCACGGCACAATGCCAAATCCGCCGACCCCTTCTCCTCAAAGGGGAGGCGCACGGGAAGGGTGGTTGCAGTACAAGCGCATGGATTAATCTTTGAGGCAAGCATATGACTACTGGCATCATACGGATGCCCATCATCAACATCATCATCATCATCGATATGATCCTTCATCATTCTTATCGTCAACATCATCATCATCATTTCTATATCCTTCAACATCATCATCATCTCTTATTAGCCGGCACTGGTGATGCCGAGGATGTCATCATCATCTCTTATTAGGCAGCACTGGTGATGCAAAGGGTGTTATGATGATAGTTGTCATCATAATCATCATCATGATCATCCTTATTATGATGTCATCGCTCTTCTCATCATCATCATGATGATCATCATCATCTCATGCTTATTCTTATTCTTATATGCATTTCAAAAGTAACGTTAGGCCCGTCATCGTCCTTATCTTTTTTTATGTACGTTTCAAGTGTCCCGTTAGACCCGATTTGACATGCAGAAGATGCGCGGACATGATCATCATAATGACTGCTGGTGATGCTGAGGATCATGATGATTATCATGTCAGTTGGTGTTCATCATCATCATCTTCTTCGTCATCGTCCTTATCTTTTTTTATGTACGTTTCAAGTGTCCCGTTAGACCCGATTTGAGATGCAGAAGATGCGCGGACATGATTATCATGATGACTGCTGGTGATGCTGAGGATGCGTCATGATGATTATCATGTCAGTTCATCATCATCATCATCATCACGGTGCTCATCATCATCATCTTCTTCGTCATCGTCCTTATCTTTTTTATATACGTTTCAAGTGTCCCGTTAGACCCGATTTGAGATGCAGAAGATGCGCGGACATGATTATCATGATGACTGCTGGTGATGCTGAGGATTCGTCATGATGATTATCACGTCAGTTCATCATCATCATCATCATCATCACGGTGCTCATCATCATCATCTTCTTCGTCATCGTCCTTATCTTGTTTTACATACGTTTCAAGTGTCCCGTTAGACCCGATTTGAGATGCAGAAGACGCGTGGACATGATTATCATGATGACTGCTGCTGATGCTGAGGATGCGTCATGATGATTATCATGTCAGTTGGTGTTCATCATCATCATCTTCTTCGTCATCGTCCTTATCTTTTTTATATACGTTTCAAGTGTCCCGTTAGACCCGATTTGAGATGCAGAAGATGCCTGGACATGATTATCATGATGACTGCTGGTGATGCTGAGGATGCGTCACGATGATTATCATGTCAGTTCATCATCATCATCATCAGCATCACGGTGCTCATCATCATCAGCTTCTTCGTCATCGTCCTTATCTTTTTTTAGATACGTTTCAAGTGTCCCGTTAGACCCGATTTGAGATGCAGAAGATGCGCGGACATGATTATCATGATGACTGCTGGTGATGCTGAGGATGCGTCATGATGATTATCATGTCAGTTCATTATCATCATCATCATCAGCATCATCATCACGGTGCTCATCATCAACTTCTTCGTCATCGTCCTTATCTTTTTTTTTACGTTTCAAGTGTCCCGTTAGACCCGATTCGAGATGCAGCAGATGCGTGGACATGATTATCATGATGACTGCTGGTGATGCTGAGGATGCGTCATGATGAGTATCATGTCAGTTCATCATCATCATCATCATCAGCATCATCATCACGGTGCTCATCATCATCATCTTCTTCGTCATCGTCCTAGTGTCCCGTTAGACCCGATTTGGGATGCAGAAGATGCGTGGACATGATTATCATGATGACTGCTGGTGATGCTGAGGATGCGTCATGATGATTATCATGTCAGTTCATCATCATCATCAGCACCATCACGGCGTCATCGTCCTTATCTCTTTTTATATACGATTCAAGTGTCCCGTTAGACCCGATTTGAGATGCAGCAGATGCGTGGACATGATTATCATGATGACTGCTGGTGCTGCTGAGGATGCGTCATGATGATTATCATGTCAGTTCATCATCATCATCATCATCATCATCATCATCATCATCTGCATCATCACGGTGCTCATAATCATCTTCTTCGTCATCGTCCTTGTCTTTTTCTATATACGTTTCAAGTGTGCCGTTAGACCCGATTTGAGACGCAGAAGATGCGTGGACATGATTATCATGATGACTGCTGGTGATGCTGCAGATGCGTCATCAGTTCATCATCATCATCATCACGGTGCTTATCAGCATCATCTTCTTCGTCATCGTCCTTATCTTTTTTTGCATACGTTTCAAGTGTCCCGTTAGACCCGATTTGAGATGCAGAAGATGCGCGGACATGATTATCATGATGACTGCTGCTGATGCTGAGGATGCGTCATGATGATTATCATGTCAGTTGGTGTTCATCATCATCATCTTCTTCGTCATCATCCTTCTCTTTTTTATATACGTTTCAAGTGTCCCGTTAGACCCGATTTGAGATGCAGAAGATGCCTGGACATGATTATCATGATGACTGCTGGTGATGCTGAGGATGCGTCACGATGATTATCATCATCATCATCATCATCAGCATCACGGTGCTCATCATCATCAGCTTCTTCGTCATCGTCCTTAGTTAGACCCGATTTGAGATGCAGAAGATGCGCGGACATGATTATCATGATGACTGCTGGTGATGCTGAGGATGCGTCATGATGATTATCATGTCAGTTCATTATCATCATCATCAGCATCATCATCACGGTGCTCATCATCATCTTCTTCGTCATCGTCCTTATCTTTTTTTTTACGTTTCAAGTGTCCCGTTTGACCAGAGTCATCATCCTTATCATCTTCATGATGATTGTCATCATAGTCATCGCCTTCATCATCGTCATCATCATCGTCATCATCATTGTCATCATCAATTGTCACATCATCTCTTCTTCTATCTTTCTTCTATACTTCTATATACATTTCAATTGTGGCGTTAGGCATCCTTGGTAATGCAGAGGATGCTACGATGATAGTTATCATGACAGTCATCCACAGCTATGATGACTCTTATGACAACTATCATCGTAGCATCCTCTGCATTACCAAAGCTGCGGCTGTCATGATAACTATCATCGTAGCATCCTCTGCATTACCAAGGATGCATTTCAAATGTATATAGAGATAGAGGATGACAATCATCATGAAGATGATAAGGATGATGACTCTTATGATAACTATCATCGTAGCATCCTCTGCATTACCAAAGCTGCGGATGACTGTCATGATAACTATCATCGAAGCATCCTCTGCATTACCAAGGATGCCTAATACCGCATTTGAAATGATAGAAGAATATCATGATGACGATGATGAAGGCGATGACTATGATGACAATCATCATGAAGATGATGAGGATGATGACTCTTATGATAACTAGCATTTTTTGCATTACCAAAGCTGCGGATGACTGTCTTGATCACTATCATCCTAGCATCCTCTGCATTACCAAGGGTGCCTAGCGATGATCATGACTACGCATCACTATCGAAACGGCACCTCGCCTCAGATGCCATTTGTGTCATTGAGATTTGGAGTCCTGCCTTGATGATAATCATCACTACGCATCATTCGCAGCATCTCTGGCAATCATGAGGATAATCATCACTACGCATCCCCAGCATCTCCAGCAGCGATGATCATAATCATGACTACGCATCACTGTCGAAACGGCACCTCGCCTCAGATGCCATTTGGGTCAAAAAGAAACCAAAGAAACCAAAACCAAGGGCACTGTTTTTGGTTGCTCGAAAACCACAACTAAATCCAGGGGTCGGCGGCAGCCCTTAAATAAAAAATATCCTTGGGGTCCCTGCTTCCGGCAATTTCTGGATACAGAACCAGAAGCATGAAGCTTGTTGAACAGGGCGGTAGCCATGTGCTGTAGCACTCGCTTCCAGCCCTGTAGCACAACTCTTTTTGGGGGAAGATTCTGCTTGGCCTTCCCTGGACAATGCCGGAGCTCAGAAGCTCACGAGCCGAGTCTTTGCACTTGCGTCGAACACGTCGGCCTCTGGAGTCGCCTTGCTCTCGGCCGGCTTGACGACCGGCGCGGCGAACAAGGCCTACGGGCACGTCCCCATCGTGGGATTGCGCCAAAAGCAAACCAGCTACAGAAAGGTCCGCTCTGGTCTTTGAAAGACAAAGGAGCAACAGCGGCATGTGTGTGTGGGTGTGGATCCAAACGACCAAATTGTGAAAAGTCTAACTCCAATGAAACTCTTAAGTTCTTAAGTGCTATCACCAAAAAGAAGCAAAAGCCCCACGAGTTTTGCACAGATCCTCGCCTTGCGCTTCTCCCGCTGCTGCTTCCGCACCTCTTCGCCCTTCTTGGGACTCCTGGAGCGCCGGCGCCTCGAGTCCCCGTAGTTGAAGCCGATGCCTTGCTGCCGGTTCCTGGCACATCGACATCGCGGGGCGGGTAGCGCAGAGTTTCACTCCGAACGCCCGCGCCTCTCCGACCAATCTTCAGCCATCGGGGTACTATTGGCCAGAACTCCAAATGATTCCAGTCTGTGCCAACGCTATGGACTGCTGTTCACAAGAACCATTCAAACATGAGATGCCGGCGTGCGCGGCATTTCGCCGATTATGTCGGCACTGCGGCGTTTAGGAGGCGAACCTGTGGCGCACCTCCGGTTAAGGTCACTTGGCTGTGTGTCAATGCGTGAAGGTCATGTTAAATGTCTCCTCTGGAGCCATACTGACGGACCGGCACGTGCCCATCTCAATGGAAAACCGCGAAATCCTCAAGCCAACTCAGGCAACCATGCCACGAACTGACCATCCGTGCCATTCAGCCACGCGCCGTACACGCCATAGCCCGCTCTCGGCTCCTCTCCCGCACCTTGTTGCGCCTGCGCCTTACGGAGCGCTTCGAACCAACTGATCACTTTGATCCAAGGGAATTTGTACGCCTCAAATCAGGCCCACAGGGCCACTTGCTGGTGTCTGCTTGGGGCCCGGCTGCATAGTCCCAGTAAGGGTAGCCACCGGCCTGGGCCTTCACAGAATTTTCTTGTTTTCGGTTCCGGAAAGCACGGTGTTGCCGAAAGGGTGTCCTGAAAAAACATGCCCATACGCATGAAGGTCACCATACCTTGCAAAGCCACCGATTTTTAGGACGCAACTGTTGAGGACCAGCGCTTGCAAAGTGTTGAAGGGATCGTTTCATCAGTAAGCACTCCGAATTCTGCGCATCGACCGTGCGGCGTGTGATTGGAAGCGCGGCCCTGTCTTCATTGCCACATCCAAGCTTCTGGCGAAACCCACGCATGGATATGCATCAAAAGCACTTCTGTTGCGCTTTGTCAACCAGCCCCCGCAAGCATCCCGAAGCACACCATCCACTGGCGAGCCTGAGAGCCCATCTTGATCCGCTGCCAAACTTCTATCGCCGGGCAAAGATGTTGAATGCGAATGTTAACATTTACAGGTATGCCTGTGGGTCAAAACCCCGCTCTCGCCCAACCCCAGATTCCCTATCAAAATGTACCAAACTAGAGGGGGCTACCCAAAATCGGGGCCCTCGGGGGTTCTGAGCTGCGGTCCGCGTGGGCGTACCCGGTGTACGGGTTCCAGGCCGCCGCCGCGCCTATCGGATCGCTCCATCATTCCCGTTTCGAGGGCAGGAAGGTGTCCCCCTCCCTTTGAAAGGGAACCCTCGAGGATGGAATCAACCCTTGGCCATTTGGCCATGGGTCAAAAGCACCAGTGAACATCCCAATCCCCACTAAAATGGCCTAAAATGGGTGGTGCACCTACCCCAAAATGGTACCATCGGTTTTGACCCACAGCCATTTGAAAAGCTGAAGCTCACTGGTCGCCTCTGGCTAAAACTGTTAAGTTGACTCTGGCTGCCAAAGGAAACCGAAGTTGTTTGCGTGGGTCGCCCTATCTCGACACATACCCGCGTGTTGTGTCCACTTGCTTTGCTTTTCGAGTGCACGTTGGCCCAAGCGTGCCCAACCCTGGGCTGGAAGCCTTTGACACCTGGGTGCTGCGAATCCACCCAGGCGAAGTAGAAGAAGAGAGGGCACCCAGGAAAAGAGAGGGCACCAAGTTTAGCCATACTTGTTCTCCCAGGAAGTCTTACAGCAACCCTGTCGGCGCCACATTGTCACGGCCTGGCTTCGTGCTTTCAAAGGCAAGACCCCGAATCGTTGGGTCTCCGGGCTACCAAGGTCATCCTCCTCTTTCCGGCGGCGACCTCGAGCAAAGATCACGGCCATCTCCGAACTTAGACCCCTGCAATCCATTTGGGCCCAAAACGTGTTTTTGGTTCCCCTCAAATGTGTTCGCTCCAACCAGGTGGTTTACTCCGGGGATTTTGCGGGGACCCCTGGAGGCCAAGTCGGTCTCAGGTCGGGGCGGCCGCCTGGCACTTGGCTCGAGAGGTTGCTTGGAACTTAAAAGAGCCACGGAGCCTGTGGCGCTTCTTTGATTACCGGCCAGGTTCGGAATGCGGCTTCATTGGCTCCAAGCCCCTGAAACTAACATATGCCTTCGATGATGCCTCCGACGCCTGAAAGGGCCGCCGGCCTCTTGTCAAGAACTGACTGACACCCCGGGGTAAGAGAGCTCACCCATGAAGGTCCCCTCGAGGTATGTGTTGGCTCAAGTTGGAAACAACTTCCTTCATTTCACCTAAACGTACCAAGCCAACATTCAAACCCATACCAAAACAAACAAAACCAAAACCACGTACCAAAACCCATACGAACGGAACCGATTCATCACGCTCGGCTCCGCCTTCCCGCCGCGAGCGGCTACGAGGCCGCTCCTCCCGGCCTGCGACGTGTGATCCCTTCAGGTCCCGTGCCTCCCTCCCCAAGACGGCCCCCAGTTGCAACGAACCTGGGTACCTCAAGCGGGGACCGTCAAACAATTCCACGGCTTATTTCAGACATGGAAAGCAGAGGACTCCTTTTGGAGGACCCTTGCTTGGAGGTCATGCTACTTTGCAGGGAGGCAACCTCTTGATGGATTTGCCGGTGATCCAACAAGGGGGGCTCGGTGGTTTGGGGCAGGGTGGGTCGGCGGCGGGCCAGAAACGTTCATCCCGCTAAGTCAAACAGAAGGAGCCAACGGCTCAACGCGATTTACGCATGCACGTAAGAGTCTCCCTGACAAAAACCCTTAAATCATGGTAGAACAAATATGTGTTACCAAAAGTATCATGGCTGAATTCTGGACATGCCAGAAATAGATCCGGATCCATGCGGTTTTGCGCCCGAAGTGCTGTTTAAGCAATTCACCGCACCGCGTGCGAATGACAAGAAGCTGGCGATTCTTTCCCAGCGACATCGTCCGATACTCACCAGGTTCCTCTGACAGACAACCTGATGATGGATGTCTTTTTACTGAAGGCCAAGGAAGCTTGACCGGAGACCTCCCCGTTGAGCCACTCATGCAAAAACTAGACGTGTCTCCTGTGGGCCACAGTCATGGCTCCCTTACAAAGAATTCTCGCAATAAAATCCCAACGGGTCTACAATCTACAGAATCTTCCCGCACCTCGCCCCGCAGCCCCCAGCCCCTGCCCCGCCTCCGGAGTGCGCCCGGCGCCGAGAGCGGCTGCGGCGGGACATCGGGTTTACCCCCCCTAAACTGGGCGTTTTCGCGCGTTTTCGCACGTGTCCGTGTCTGGGTTTCTCGCCCTTGGGCGTGTTCGCGTGTTTGCTGGGTCTGGATTGGACGTGCCACCTATCCGGTCTGAGCCTGGAGGTCGAATTGGCGAATTTTCGAAGTCCAACTCGGAGGCATGGCCCCAAGGCGTCGGAAGCTCTGGAACGCTCCGGCCACTTCAGGCCGTGCCCAATCTCTGAACAGCGCACTGCGGAGGAACAGAGAGAAAATATGAGAGGGAGAGGGAGCTGGAGGGGGAGCTGGAGAGGGAGAGAGAAAAAGAGAAAACGAGAAAAGAGAAAAAGAGAAAAAGAGAAAACGAGAAAAAGAGAGAAAGAGAGAAAGAGAGAAGAGAGAAAGAGAATGAAAAGGAGGAAAAGATCTCTTGTTACATTGCTTAAGGCAATCCATGGCGAGCCATGCTATGCCAGGGCTCAAGATCGCAGCACTTCCCGCGCGCAGACTTGCCTTTTCCGGCCGAAAATCAGGGGCGCTCCTGGGCAAGAGAGATGATGGGGGCCTTCGAAGAACCCAAAAAAGAGGGTCTCCCTGACGAGAGAAAAGGAAAAGAAGGCATCTGGGAGGGTGGTCCTTTTTCTTTGAAACACCTGACCTGTTTCAAAGGGAAACCAAGAGGCAAACCGAAGTCGCCCCCGCGCCTTTGGGCCGGGCGTGCGCCTTTTACGATGGCTGGGCGGCGGCCGGCTTCTTGTGCTCGCTTGCAGACCGGAACTCCTCCTAGCGGACACCGTGCGCAAAGAGGATGCGACAAGGACCCACTCGAAACTTTGATGTTTTGTAAATTTGCAGCCACAATCCAAACCTGGATTAGATAAAGGATGGTAATGAGAAGTCTCACCCCAGAAATCGGTGCACAAGGCCACCAGTTGGATGCTTCGCTAGATGCCTTGAATACAAGGGTTTGATTGTGAGACACTCGCTCTTCTCGCGAAAAGGGAGACAATGGAAGAGCAGGCTGGAAAACAAAGGTGAACGCATGGTGGAATGTTGGAATGGGCTTACTATGCTTGAGAAGAACCGGAGAGCGAATCAGCATGTGGGAGGAACGAGTCAGGAAGTTGGTGCCTGCCGGGCCTGCTCCCCCCACATCCCTCCTAGTTTGTTTCCCCAAACGGCTTTCAGGCTTCAGCCTTTGTGCCCTTGCCCTGGAACATGCGGGGCAGAAGTGCAGAGAAACCCGAAGTGTTGCTTTTTTCCTCACTTGCAACCAAAGCAAATCAACGTTTCGACCTGTCAGCCTCCGGTCACGCTTCTGGCACAAGCCTCAATTTACTCGAATCGGCTTGGAGTTTGGCGCAAGGAGAGAAACACATCTCTCCTCCGTTTGCAGCCGCTATAGCTCCTTCCACCGTTCCCCCAACCCATCCAACCCATCCCCCGACAAGGCGGCCCGCGCCTCCGTCATGAGGGGCACGGAGTCATCCACCAAGTCCGCCACCGTGGGCGGCGGAGGCTCCTCCTCCCCCTGCGAGGTGGCTCCAGCGAGCTCACGTTGGCAAACAAAGCCATGCGTACACCCGTGTGATTTGGCTCTATGGTCCAAGTAACCCATTCACCAACACATTGTTTTGCTGGAAATGGCTGAGCGTTCAAGCACCTTGAAATGAAAGAAGATACAACCAACCGAGCAAGGTCTGGCTGAAACCGCCACTTTGTCCTGACCAATGATCAAGCAACAAGCCAGACCTCGCAGCAGGTGCTTCTGAAGCTAGATGCAAACACGTACCCGCACACACACACACACACAGACAGACAGACAGACAGACAGACAGACAGACAGACAGACAGACAGACAGACAGACAGACGAGACAGACGAGACAGACGAGACAGACGAGACAGACAGACGAGACAGACGAGACAGACGAGACAGACGAGACAGACGAGACAGACGAGACAGACGAGACAGACGAGACAGACGAGACAGACGAGACAGACGAGACAGACGAGACAGACGAGACAGACGAGACAGACGAGACAGACGAGACAGACGAGACAGACGAGACAGACGAGACAGACGAGACAGACGAGACAGAGACGAGACAGACGGAGACGAGACAGAAGACAGACGACAGAGAGACAGACGAGACAGACGAGACAGACGAGACAGACGAGACAGACGAGACAGACGAGACAGACGAGACAGACGAGACAGACGAGACAGACGAGACAGACGAGACAGACGAGACAGACGAGACAGACGAGACAGACGAGACAGACAGACAGACAGACAGACAGACGGAGGACGGAGGACGGACGGACAGGACAGGACAGGACGGAGGACGGACGGACGGACGGAACGGACAGGACGGACAGGACGGAGGACGGACAGGACGGACAGGACAGACAGGACAGACAGGACAGACAGGACAGACAGGACAGACAGGACAGACAGGACAGACAGGACAGACAGGACAGACAGGACAGACAGGACAGACAGGACAGACAGGACAGACAGGACAGACAGGACAGACAGGACAGACAGGACAGACAGACAGACAGACGCACACACGCGCCCACGCACACCCTCAAGCATTGGAACATATCTTTCGTAAAGGGGCATATGGCCTCGAGCACGCCACACTGCACGATGCGGATCGCCATAGCAGGTCTTCCAACCTGATTGCACGAAGCTTCAGTCTGCGCCGTTTCTGCATGTCCATGGCCTCTAGAACATTGCAAAGACAAAAGCACGCGTACAAAACAAAAAGCCCAGCATGTCCATGTTAGCATCCCTCTGCTAGGTCATCAGAGACATGCAGGTGGTCCCTTCAGCGATTGGTGAGCCGTACTGGTTGCAATAAATCTATGGGGCTCCAGCTCGTTTTCAGGAGTGTTTGTCGGCTGCCGATGTTAAGGCATGTGTGATGCTGGTGATGCCGGTAATGGTGCCACTCTGGCACGTGTGTAGCGCTGGGGTCTGTCGTGGCATCACGAATCCAGCTAGTTTGCCAGCATCGCCGGCATTGCCTGCATTCCTACACCAGCATCCCCCAGCATCGCCTGCATTGCCTACATTCCCAAAATACCAGTCCACCAGCATCTCCAACATCGCCTGCATTGCCTACATTCCCGCATCCACCATCTCGAGCATCGCCTGCATTGCCTGCATTCCCACATTACCAGTTTACCAGCATCTCCAGCATCACCAGCAAGTCCACCAGCAACGCCAGCATTGGCAGCATCGCCAATCGCCAGCATTGCTTGCTTCGCTTTCTTAGCAGTGTCAAAAGAACATCTGCCTTCCAACAGATAGAAGCTGGTGTGCAAATACAACACCTTCTCTGGAAGTCCCATAATCAAAGGATCCCGACTCTGGATGCCAATTGGTCCTTTCAGCCAGCTGCCGATGTTGGGGATGCTGGCAGCGTGCGTGACGCAAGACACGTGTGATGCTGGTCTGCATCATGGCCAGCCCACACCTAAAGCATGTGGCTGCCATGCGCTGCATCGTTGGTGGTTCTTGGTGGTTGGCAACACATCATCAACATTGCCAACATCAGGGTGTGAGACCTGCAAGTGTACCTTCACCAGCTCACGCCTGAAACATCGCACAGCAAAGGCCTGAAGGCCAAACGAAACCGGCCGCATTCCCAACATCACCATTGCGGTGTAGCCTCACATCACTTGACCATCGGCAAGCCTAGGGACCCCGAAATTCCGAACCCCAATATCCCGATGGCTGTTTGGATGGCCTGCCCACCAGCAACTGAATTGAAGAAAATCAGAATGGAAAATAATCGATCCGGTATTTGCTAATGGCAATGCTGGGGCTTCCTCTGGTCTTGGGATGCGGTTGCATCGAGTCTGGTGACAGGGGATAGACCCAGATGCCAACGGCCTGCCAACTGCCTCAGCCAAGAGACTTGACATGGACATCTGAATTTTCAATCATGCACTCCTTTAATCAAAGTGGCGTCTCTTGCCAAACGGAATGCAATTGAAACAGCTGTGTCCCAGGTGCATGTCCGCTAACAAGCCCATGTTTCTCACTGTATCTCACACGAGGGGCTGTGATTGGTGGGTTGGTTGGTTGGTTGGTTGGTTGGTTGGTTGGTTGGCTGACCGCATCCCCGGCATCACCAACATCACTTGGACCTGGGGTTGCCTATTGGCTCTGATGGGGTGGTAGTTGGGAGTTGCTGGGGGCTGGTTTTAGGGGGTTTTGGCTGGCTTAGATCTTCATGAGGGTGGGTCTTGGGGTGGTTTGGGGTTGATTTAGGCGAAGCGAAGGGCTGACATCCAGGCTGCTGTTGGGCGGGTTTAGGGTTGACTTTGAGTGGGCAAACAGCAGCCTGGATGTCAGCCCTTCGCTTCGCCTAAATCAACCCCAAACCACCCCAAGACCCACCCTCATGAAGATCTAAGCCAGCCAACACCCCCCTAAAACCAGCCCCCAGCAACTCCCAACTGCCACCCCATCAGAGCCAATAGGCAACCCCAGGTCACAGTGATGTTGGTGATGTCGGGGATGCGGCCAGCCAGCCAGCCAGCCAGCCAGCCAGCCAACCAACCAACCAACCAACCAACCAACCAACCAACCAACCAACCAACCAACCAGGGCTAAGGGGGGACCAGTAGGATGAAAAGAAACACTATCTCCACTTTGAAAAGGGCGCCAAAAAGGAATCCAAATCCGGAGATGCCCACAGCGAACGTAACTGGACCCGATGGTCATGTCTCTCTTCAGTGCTAGGCCATAGGCCCTGCGCAATCTTTCTTCGCAGCTGCGTGCTGACTAAACTCCATGATGGACCTTTCTGCCAACTAACCTCGCAACCTCGCAACCACTTTCAGACTTGGTCATCCGCATGCGTTGGTGATCCAAGAAATCCGCTTGCGGTTGAGATCCTAAGACTTCGAAATGGGTGTGGCTCAAAATTGAGCAGGAGGGGCAAACCGCAGGTTTTGGTCCATGTTTCCACTTGCCGATCGGGCAACCCATTTTGGAAAAAAAAAAAAAACGTTTTTTTGAGTTCGCCACAGCCAAATCGACTCATCGACTCGTCCACTTGGGCGGCCCCCGCGCGGGTGCCCAGCTCGCCGATTTGCCGCACCACGCGCATGCCTGGCAGAGCCACCCGGAAGCGGAAGCTTTGGAAGGGACACATCGGTTGCCGCATCCTCTGGTTGTATATGGTTCCATATGCACAAGATGCTCATAAATGATGTATATGTATATATATATATATATATACATGTATATATATATATAATGATACATATATATCTGTATACATACTTGATGCATCTTGTGGCATGGTGTGGTTTGCCCTTCTGAACTGATCTTTGCAAAGACCCCAGAGCTCGCCCATCGGAGGCGTGGCGGTGTCAATATCGGGACGAACCCGGCTTCTGCCTCTCAGGACGGTTCCGAAGCACACGTGGTGGTTCGTGAAGGCGCGCTGCTGCCTTGGGCGCCGGCGGCTGACCCCAGGCCGGTCAAGCGAGCTACTTCTGCTCAGCGGTCATATGCTACAAATATGTTTATAGATGTGTATATATATATATATATAATATATATATATATATATACACATATATCCATGCATGTCCATGTCTGTATGATACACAAGCAATCATATCGAATTTGCTGCACATTGCCCTAGTGCCATTGCAGTCTTGCTGCCGGGCACTCCATCTGCATGCCCTGTGAACGATTTCCCCACGCGCTCGGGAGCCCGAGCGATAAGGTGATCATGAAGATCGACGAGTTGGTGTTCTTGCCCCAGTTGCACATGGCCTCGGGCGAAAGCTTCCCAGGCACTCGGATGCCCCGTTTGGCTTGAAGATTAAGGTCCCTGGGATCTCCCGACCAGGTCGCCATCCCGCACGAAGCTGACCTCAAAGTTCTCGTCCGGGAAAGCCTGGCAGCTGTACGCACTCGGAGCGGCACGTGGGGTAGGCGATATCATATTTCCAGTGGACTCATATAAAATCTGACTAGTCACAAACCATCAAATCCTGGCTGGAACAACTGGCAACGGACATTCTCCGTGCCTCCCCGTAGATGCTCAGGCCCCTCGTCTTGCCAGATCCCTCAATCACGTCACCACCTCGGAAAAAAGAAAGGCGGAGCAGACGAAAGAGAGAGGCTGCGGGCCTGAAATGGCCGCGCCCGGCTTGATCTTGTGGATCAGAGTGTTCTGGTATCCTCACAAGGCTCACAAGCCAAGGCCGGCCAGAGATGCAAACACCTGGGAAGCGCTCAAGCTCACGCCCCGCCTATGACCCGATCCTTGACCCGGTAGCCCTTGCCTCAGTCTGATGGCATCTCAGCCCAGGGACAAGGTTGCAATGTTGGAGTGCTGTTCGCAAACCAAAATTGCGAAATCCGCTTGAAGGCTCAAGAATCCCTCACTTCCAAAGAAGTGTCAAAAGGGGTCCATATCCTCAGAAGGCACTCGCCTGCAGACCCAACAATCCACATCTGTGGAGAAATCTCCGTTTTGAGGGACCCCACACGGTGGAATTGCGTTCCAACACTCCAAAGAATCAGCAAAGCTTCAGCTCCAGAAGCAACGTTCAGTGCAGAAGAGGTACGTTCAAAACCACCATGTTGTCCGGGTGGAAAGAATATGAGAAAGATGCTGGATCTAGAATCTAGATGCAGGAGAACAGTTCACCTTTGGGGATCTAGCGCCCCTTTGCTTTCAACAAATACCAAGCAGCAAGAACCAAGACAACATGGTTCGGCATCATGAGACCTCGCAGAACGTCGCGTGCGTCGAAATGCCAGCATCAAGAAGCTGGCTTCAAAGCTTCGCTGGTGACGCTCCTTTTCCGCCGAGCATGGCCCGTCACGTTTGCCAAAGCCGCTGCCCATCGTGGCGATGCGTCGCAGCAGAAAATGAGGCCTTTAACGTGGTGGCCTGCGCCGGCTCTCCTACGGTGTCCCTTTGAACAACCCACCTTAAAAAAGAGACAATAAGAGACCAAGTCGCCCAGAAAAAAGACACCAAAAAATGAACAACTAAAAAGAGGCACCCACCCAGCCTCAAGACAAACGAACAGTTAAAACAATAAGCAGGTACCCTCCCTGCCTCCTCGACACGCGCCCCCTGAGCCCGTCTCGCCAAGCCGCAGAGCTGCACGAAGTTCTCGCAGGTCAGTGGGACCTCGACAGCGGCAAAGCAGCCCAAGAAATGCTGCGGAGAGCATGTGCAAGAAAGAAGACATGCATATGTGGATGTATGCAAATGTATGCTATGTAAAGAAGATATATATATATATATATATGTGTGTGCTGTTTCTATACAGAAAACATATATATATATATATATCTAAAATCAAGTATACATGCATGTGATCCCGTGTTGTCCCTGAAGTGAATATCCACGAAGCGTACTGAATAAGGCTTGCTGGGGTTCACAGTTTTGAAACAGGATTGGCCGAGCTTCGGCCCGACACTCAACTCCATCTTTGGATGACGGGGTTGCAAAAGACAGACCTGCACACACACACACACACACACAAATCCACAGCCCAAATCGGATCATCCTGCCGTGCCCAGAGAGTTCAAGATAGCTGGATGGCAGGGACACCTTCTGATTTTTACAAGATCTCCATGATCGCTCTCCGCGAAAGCTCCGTTGAATCCTCAAAAAGGCGTGGCATGCGACGCATCTTCCGCTGAAAAAGGAACCCCGCCCCAGCCGAGCCGAGTCCGGGCGTGCAGCTATGTCGGAGTAGAGCCCGAAAACGATGCGGCCGGCGTACTGGTTCCCAATGCTGATGTCCATGTAGCACCTCGACTCACAACTCGGGTGTGTAGCAGCAGATGGATGTGGATTTCCTTTTCACCACGGATTCAGCACTGGTGGAAGGCAGCGTCACGCCCCCCAAACTCAACTCCGCTTACGTCTCAGCAGCGCAGTGATCAAAGTCTGACAGACTGGGCCCGGGCTTGTCTCTAACCAGCTTCTCGTAGTCCCTCAGATCCGTGGAGAAAGGCACAACAGGTTCGACTAGACACTGAAAGAAAGCCGAGGCTTCTCCATGGACAGGGGGAAGGGTAGGTGGGAGGACGCCGTATCCACACTGGTGTGCAACTCTGGCATGTCTCCTTACAATCAGGACGGTTTCTTGCAGCTCGCCGCTCGCCATTTTCCCCTCAGCGCAAGTCTGCTTCAGCAGCGTTACGCATACGTCGAGCTCAAGGGCTCTGGCTGGTGCATCTTCAGCCAAAGTCCGACCACTTGAAAAACGTTCAGCAACCTCAGCCCTGAAACTCGAGGCTGACTCTCTGACTCGACCTGCTCAAAACCTGCAGGCTCGCTCGACGCAACGCCCGCAAGGGGGGGCAACAGGCTCTCACTCCTTGTCCTTGAAGTAGTTGTAGACCTGACCGCCCAGCATGGGGCCCACCAAAATCCCAAAACCCCACCCCCAACGAGTAGGGAAGGATGATGCTTGGTGCCACAGGGCAAACAAGGCCCGCTGTGGGTACATGCTGAGCGGGCATGAAATTGATCCCATACCAGAACCTGGTCCTGTTCAAACGGGTCGTCCGAGTCATTGCTAACCCCAAAGGTAGAAACTCCATTTGGGCTTGTGGCCGTCTCTTGTTCAAGGTTGATGCTCGAATGGGCGCACAAGGTAGTTTGGAGCGTGTTGCCTGCAAGCCAAAGAGGGCAAAGAAGGCGTTGCCGAGGAAAAAGTTCCCGTAGAGCGCGTTGGTCTCGGGTCCGTTGCTGACCCGAGTGCTTCGAGCGAAAAGAAATTTGATGGCCAGTCCGGCTCGATTTGGGCTTGGTGGGCGGGGCCAGAAAGACCTTGACAGGCACTGCTAGCCCCCTAGAAGATTGAGGGGGGCACTTTTGGGGAGCATGGATGGCACTTGTTCCAACACAGTGCGCCACAACTGAGGGAACGCATACACCCAGCTTTTCCAACATGCTTCGGCCTGGCTATCTCCTTTGGTCAATTGTATGACGCATTGTTTTGATTTAGGCAACAAGTTGATCCATGGTGTTTGCTTACTTGCACCATACCATATACACAGGGCAAACGAGTCCACAATCCCCCTGTCTTGAACAGTTGTCACCCCCCCCGGGATGTGAAGGACTGGCAGCCTCCGGGCTTCGCGGGTCATGGGGTGAGGAACCCATGAGTTATCTAACGTCCCTTAAGCTTCCCTCAAGGTCAACCCTCCCAGACAGGCGATGGATGCCTCAATCTCGGGCTTGATTTCTTACACTCCTCAGCAAAGCACACAATTTGCGTAGGATATCAAGCATGAAATTCACGAAACAAGTGCACTACCACAGTCCCCCAGTCTCAAAAAAGTACACTCATATAACTCATATAACAACAGCGAGTCAGGAGCCAACCACAGGAGCAACTTGTGGAAAGGGAGAAGAATCAAGATTAACACAACAGAACTGTTTGTAGCTGAGATTTCATCAGTCAACGGGGTCGCGGTCCTTTACATTCGATCTTTGTAACATGCTGCCAATTGTTGCTGCTCATCCAAGCCAGAGCTGCAATTGTCTTAGCATCGTTCTTTCATTCCTGTTTGGCATTACAGTTGAATTAGATTTCAAATCGATTCCAGTATGGACAAACAAGCTTGTTGTTTCTGCTAACTTGCCTGCCCCTTAACAAGAAGTAGAATACCAGAAGCGCAAGGACAATGCGATTTCAGTTCTAATGGTTTATAGGCTTTAAATTGCCACGCGTTAAGCTTAAATCATATTTTAGTTAGAATTAAATGTACGATTGTATTCTGAATTAGAATTCACACTCGGCGTCCTCAAGTAGGATTCAAATAGGGATTTATAAAGAAACCAATAAGGAGCACAAAGCTTGGTGTTTCTTCTAAATTTCAATCCCCTCAAAAGGAGTGAAACAAGTAGAAACACATGGAAAAGGCACATGTTATTCCAGTTGGTTTGCAAGTTGTGGATTGCAAGGCTTTGAGTTTAAACGGGAATTCGGTTAGAAATCACTTTAAAATGTCATTTTAATGTAGATATTTAACAGTACTTCCCTTCCAAGTAGGATTTTGATTGTAGTTCAATTTGGGCTATTATTCTAATTCAGGTGCTAAATCGGAATTAGATGTGCACACCTGAGTTCAATTAGAATTTAAAAAGCATTCAGACTTGGAATTAGAATCTAAAAAGAATGTCCTCCCAAGTCTATATAAATAGGAACTCCTTTCCAACACTTAATTGGAGTTTCAAACTAGTTTAACTAGAATCTAGCAATACATTATAGGCTGGTTGTTTCTTCTGAGTAACTCAATTACATTTGTTGAGTCATATGTTAAATAGGAATTTCAAGTCTCTAAGACTGTGGAATAGATTTAAGCAAAATGAAAATAACATCTGGTAGGGATTGTCAAGCTGCTTGTTTCTTCTAGTTAGTTGAAAATAGACTTCTTACACTTAATTGGATGCTTTAGGGGAATTAATTACAGTTCGCATGCATTGTGAAATAGATTTGAGATAGGAATTCCTTTGCAAGTAGGACTTTAAGTAGAATTCAACTGGAAATCAAATAGAATCTGTTAAGAAAAGACAAACAAGCTGGTACTGTCTTCCAATTTGCATGGACAGCAAAAAACAAACCCAAGAACAGAAGTAGGTCCATCACAGACACAGACAACCCTAAAAATCGAGAAAACCGGAAAACAGCAAAACAACTCGATGAAGAAAAAAAGATAAACACCTCGAGGAAACTAAACAAAACAAAACAAAACTCGAGAAAACAAAAAGGACAAAAAGCAAAAACAAAAGAACCATGGTTCCAGCACTCTTTCAACATGGTTTGTTCATTTAAACCATGTTTGTTTTTAGCTTTGTCCTTTTTGGTTTTCTCAAGGCTTTTTGGGCTTTGTTGAGTTTCCGAGCCCTTTTGTTTCTCTAGTTGTTCTTGCTTTCTCAAGATGTTTCCTCTGTATGGGTTAGATCAAGTGCTGACATGGCTGACCCATGGGAAGACTGCAAGCCTCAAGATGCGCACAAAGCGCCCTGGGGTCCCCTGCTCGTGTTCTATTTGACCCCCTATGGCCTTGTGTTCCTTTGAAACCCGAAAAAACAGGTACCAACTCCTCAAAGAGACCTAGACCCATATGTTTCTGTGGGATCTGCCGACTTTCCGGTTCTCCTCCTTTGAAACCGAAAAACGGGATCTGCCACCGGATCTGCCGACTTCCGACGCTTCTCGGCTCCTCCGGGTAATCAAAGGCCGAGTAGGAGGACGGGTACTCGGCTCCCGGGAGGTCCTCGGATCGGATCCCAAGACTGGGAGACTGGGGCTCAGTGAGCCACCGTGCCAAGGGCCAGCTAAAAGAAGAGAAGACTATCAGAAAAAGAAGAAATATATATATATATATTGAGTCTATATATATATATATATATATATGTATATGAGAAACTCAAGTTGAGGATTGTGGATCCTTCGTGTGGATTCCAAAGGCCAAAGAAGGTCGTTGGACACGCGTGTCCCAGGATCGTGGCGCCATGCACGTGGATTGATGAGATCAACACCCGGCATGGGTGGCCGGTATATTCCAAGCTCGACAAATCCCTGCAATCGAAAAGGAATGTCCAAAGCTCAAAGCAAATGTCGCACAAATGTGTTCGAGGGATCCTGCTATGCTTCAAAATCTTGCAGGTGGCTGGTAAGAATTCCTCACATTGACTCACAGTCATTTTTAGCTGCGCCCCCAAATTCACTCGGTCATTTCAGGCTTTCCCGTGGTTGCACAGAGATCAGCGTCGTCAGTGCCGGCTAGGCAGCTCTGTGGAGCTTAAGCATCGTGGATGGGTCTTCTTCCGGGTGTTTTTTCAAACTACGAAACCGCATGCCACTGTGCCGTTTGGGGAAATTCAACCCAAAAGGATGTCCAACATTTTAAGAAGCCCTATCTGCCGCATTCCTTCCCCTTGCGGTGCCCCAAAATCCTCTTAACCTAAAATAGAGTGTTGTCTTGTCGTGTCACCTGGTCACACAGTGCTGCTTCAAGCCTCCAACATGGAGATGGGGTCTACTTGTGATGATTGCCGCTGTGCTCAGACGTTTTCTCGACCGAAGACCAGGCGCGGCCGCCCCTTGCGCCAGCGCCAGCTGCTGCGCGGATAGCCACGCCACAGAGCCCGCAGCCATGACCTCTGCGGGCCTCCTGCGAAGGTGCCGGCAAGTATCCCAGCCACGCCCCGGCACGCCGCACATCAGAAAACAAAGAAACAAAAGCTGCCATCGGCATCACAAGCTGCCCAAAGTGCAGGAAGCCTAGTTTCCATTTGTGCGCCCTGTTTGTCGAAACGCCCAGATCCACAGGATCAACAGATCCCGACGCGCTTTCCTGGCGGGGACAAAGCCCACCAGTGGTCGGCAGAGCACCGCGCACAGCGCCTCAGTGCAGTCAGTCTGAAAAGATCTGCCGAACGTCAGTGCCAGATGTCCATCTGCCATGACTCAATTCCTACGGACCAACAAGTTGCAAGCTCTTCGTTTGCGAGCAACCATGTGTGTGTGTGGGCGTGTATATGTGTATATGTGAGTTATGTGTGTATGTGCGTGTGTCTTTGTCTGTGTCTGCCTCTGTGTCTGTGTCTGTGTTTGTGACTGCGGCCGGTTTTTGCATTGCAATTGTTTTTGTATTGCCGTGTATTCTGCGTGAGTTGACATTTTGGTTTTTTGGTTTGTTGGTTTGTTGGTTTGTGTGTTTGCTTGCTTGCTTGCTTGCTTGCTTGCTTGTTTGTTGGTTGGTTGGTTGGTGGGTGGGTGGGTGGGTGGGTGAATGGGTCGGTCGGTCCGTCCGTCCGTCGGTCGGTCGGTCGGTCGGTGGGTTGGTTGGTTGGTTGGTGGTTGGCTGGCTGGCTGGCTGGCTGGCTCGTTGGTTGGTTGGTTGGTTGGTTGGTTGGTCGGTCGGTTGGTTGGGTTGGTTGGGTTGGTTGGGTTGGCTGGCTGGCTGGCTGGCTGGCTGGCTGGCTCGCTGGTTGGTTGGTTAGTTGGTTGGTTGTTGAATTGTGTGTTTCTTTGCTTGTTTGCTGGCTTCTTCCTTCCTTTCTTTCTTTCTGTCTTTCTTTCTGCATATATATATATATATATGTTTTTCCCTTCCTTCCTTCCTTCCTTCCTTCCTTCCTTTCTTTCTTTCTTTCTTTCTTTCTTTCTTTCTTTCTTTCTTTCTTTCTTTCTGTCTTTCTGTTGTTCTTTCTTTGTTTGTTTATGTGTTTGCATTGTATGTGTTGTGTTGTGTATTTTAATGTAATTATGTATGTGTGTTTCTAGTATATACATGTTGTGTGTGTGTGTGTGTGTGTGTGTGTGTGTATGTGTGTGTGTGTATATGTGTGTGTAATATAAATAATAATAATATTAATAATAATAATAATAATAATAATAATAATAATAATAATAATAATAATAATAATAATAATAATAATAATAATAATAATAATAATAATAATAATAATATAATAATAATAATATAATAATAATAATAATAATATTAATAATATATGCGTATGCATCTCATCTCATCTTATCATATCACATCACATTAATAATATCGTATATTAATAATAATAATAATAAATAATAATAATATAAAATAATAATAATAATAATAAGAATTAATACTTAATAATAAAATAATAATAATAATATAAAGTAATAATATAAGTAATATGCATTAATGAAATAATATGGAAGTATATGTATAGTAATACAAATCACATCACATCGCATCATCATCATCATCATCTTATCTATCTATCATATCTATCTATCTATCACATCACATCACATCTGATCACATCACATCTGCGAAATCTTATCTCATCTGCATCATATGTTTGCTT